GCATCTTCGGCAGCTTCTCTTTGAATCCTTGAAAAGCGCCTTTTGATTTTTTCTCAAGTCTTAGCTTATGTAAAATTTTGTTTAAGGTGAAAGATTGTACAAGGTTCTTATACAAGATGGAAGCGAAGCGACTGGAATGTCAGTCAATATTAATAAATCTTACTGATGACAATCTCAGGTTTGTTCATCAAGAAAACAGTGTGTCATGAAGAACACTACGCTTATTGACTGATATCCTTACACACGTACCTTTGTGAAAGCTGCTTTGCTCGGAACACGATTAATAGCTCTGGATGTTGCTTCAGTCAATAGTGCGTAGGCTCTTTCCAATTGAATAACAATGTATCGATCGTCCTGCTTCGCCCCGCCTCTGCCACGCCTCCTGGCATAGCCGTCGCCTCGTCGAATAGCTAGTAAAGAATCTGTCGAAAATGTAAGACCTTACCTTATTTTCCTTGATAAACCGTATTTTCAGAAAATGAGCATTCAGCTAGAATCAGAAAAGATTACGCTATCAGATAATTACTTATAGTCTAAGGAAAGACCTCTGTTTGGCGAGTTCCAAAGCGCAAATTAGAAGGCCAGAGGAGATCAAAAGACAAAAGAGTTTTTCAAAAAGCAAACATATTTCTGACTTCTTTGAAGCTTGTGCTATAGTTTGAGTATTAGCACTTTGAGGAAGCAGCTTCGTTCATCGAAATATAATCGAGGTAAGAGAGAAAAACAAGTGGTTTTATGAGACATGATTTAATTTTGAACGTTACAGCGCTCTGAAGGGGTTTTCTGAAGAACTGGCGAAGTGGGGATATAGCCAGAAATCTAAGCTTTCCAATGGTATCTAACATTCTTATGAGAAGTTTGTGTCCAACAAATGACACTAGAATTTCATTTACTCTCCTATAATAAGAAAAAACCTCAAAAACATTACTGAAATCAACAAGATTTGAGCTATCGAATGGCTGCTAAAACCTAGAGGAAAAATATTCTTCAGCGAGAATTATGCTGATGAAAATATAGTTCTATTTTCGCTGCTGCAGCGCAATAATGCAGCTATGTTTGAAACAAAGTGCCCCGTCATAATTTTGAAAATCGAGCTATTAGATCATAGCTGAAACTCGAAAAAAAGGAAAAGTGCTTTTCTCGAGGGATACAAGGAATTCGTGGATGACAAAAATGATCCAGTTTCACGAGACCCAACCTTCTTTAAACTCTTGGAGCGGACTCAAAAGTCTGTTTCAAAAACAAAATGCATGTTAAAATTCCAGACCTGCCACGGACCTCCCTCTCTGAGGGATCCCGCCCGTTTAGTCGCGAGGGCACGTGGCGCATCCCCAGGTTGTGGATAGTGAAATGAACGCAAACCAAAAGCGACCGTGTGCTTCCCAAAGACGCAGGTGGATTCAGGAGACGAGCTCCCTGCTTCTGCAGCGCCTATTTGACAAAAACTCTATTTCTACGAGTCAAGTCGGCCAAAAGCATGCAATCAAGCGGCTGGGAAGTACATGGGAGGCGATTAGGAGTCGCCTCCAACAAATAAGCTCCTCCCCTTCCTCCGAGAGAGACTGGCAAACTACTCGTGAGTGCCCAGCCTCCACGTTTAGAGCCTGGCAAGCTATACATTGGGTATCAAAATGCCAAAGACAGTAACAAATATGGGCCTCCTTCCCCTGTCTCCGAAAGAGCCCCTGGTACGGCAGCGCCAGGTAGGACGAGTACGGAGAGGCTGCTAAAATCTCAGGGCTGAACTAGGCTGACAAATCGAAATGGACTAAAATGACGATCTGAACCTACAATGTAAGGTCCCTTGCTTACCAATCCGCTTTAGAAGATTTATTGATTTGAGCAAGGAGAATAAGGTACGACGTCATTAAACTGGCTGATACGAGATGGCACCATCTTTTTCACGATGTTTATGACACCGGAGAGGAACTGTTCCTTGGTACATGCGATCGCAGAGGTGTCGGCGGCGTTAGCGTCCTCGACAAATCAAATTTGACCGTAAACATTATTTCGTTTGAACAACTAACAACCCGTATCGGACGATTGCGAAAGAAACGATGTTGATCAATGCCGGCTTTGACAATTTTCGTTGCTTACGCACCAACTTGAAACTATGACGAAGACGAAGTCGAAGCGTTTTATATGGACATCGAAAAGTTTTTTAGAGAAGATCATACATTCTTCAAGGTCATTCTCGGAGATTTCAACGCAAAAACTGGACCTAAAGGAACGTCTGAAGAACGTCACATAGAGACCCACGGACTAAAATGGAATGAAGAGGGGTGAGAGGCTGTCTGAGCTCATCACGACGACTCAAACCATCCATGATAACTCCAATTCCAAAAGCCTCTTTCTCAGCGATGGACGTGGGAGTCTCCCAATGGAGAGTACCATAACAGAATAGGCCACATCTTAGTAGGTCGAAGGTTTTGGCTGACCGATGTCGCTGTTGTTCCCAAGTTTTACACGGGATCAGTCCATCGCCTCCTTCGCGCAAGGTTCCGTTTTTCGAGGAGAGGAGAGAAAATAGCTAAATTCAAACAACGAAGTCCCAAAACTACCATGAACTGGAATGTATTAAAATCATTAGTCGGATACCGTTGTTGGCAACATCGACGAAGAATACGATCGACTAGTTGAATATCTTCATGTTAGCGCTAAGAAAGCCGAGAGTCCTAAGGTCACGAAGAGATGCTTGCCTCCGCAGACACTCGAGCTGATACGTCAACGTGGAATCGCACGAGCTGCAGGCAACCGAAACCTTACGTCCGAACTTGCGAAACGCTGCAGTGAAGAGATAAAAGAAGACCTCAAAAAGATACGAGCAGCAGTTATGGCAGAAGCTGCAGAGGCATGGAAGAGCATTCGCAAAGCCTAACGACGCTTCGCCAACTATAAGACCAAGACGATTGCAGTCCGATACCCTGACGGGGCACTTACAGCTTCGAGAAGGGGTGTGGAGAAAATTAGACACCTGTACTACTCGGATCGCTTCGCTAGCCATGTTCTCTTACGGTCATGAAAATTGGAAAATTACGAATATGTTGTTCCACCGGTCCTCCCTTCCAAAATCCGAGATGCTATATTGTCGGCGAAGAGCAGAACAACATCCGGTCTAGACAGGATTAGACTAGAACACCTGAAGAACCTGCGCCAGTTCTCATCAGCACCGTGGCTCGGCTCTTCACTCGCTACCTGTCAGAATGCAAGATCCCTATCTAATCGAAAACCAGCAAGACTTTATTGTTGATCAAAAAGGGAGATCTTCACGGCATAGGCAATTATCGCCCAATCTGCTTGCTGTACGTTGTCTATAAACTCTTTACTCGAGTCATCCTAAATAGGATTGACAGAACACTGGACGAAGGACAGCCATGCGAACAAGCAGGCTTGTAGAAAGAATTTAGTACCATAGACCACACCCACACGATTACAAAACTCATTGAATTTCACGAGAGTACAAACAACCACTCTGTCTCCTTTCATCGATCTGAAGAAAGCCTTTGATTCAGTGGAAACAGAAGCGGTTATAGGGCTATGGATAACCAGGGTGTCCCTACTTGTTACATAATGATCCTTTGTGAGCTTTATAAAAATTTCACGACCAAAATATCTCCATTCTACAACAATATCACCATCGACGTAGGAAGAGGAGTTCGACAAGGCGATACAATTTCGCCAAAACTATTCACTGCCACCCTACAAAACGTCACGCGAACATTAGAATGGGACGATATGGGAGTGAAAATTGACGGTCGACAATTGAACCATCTTCGCTTTGCTGACCATATCGTTCTCATAACACCAAACATCAGCCAGGCGGAACGAATGTTGACCGATTTCGATAACGCCTGTGGAAAGATAGATTTTCGATTAAATCTAAAAAAAAAAACTATGTTCTTAAGGAACGGATGGGTTTTGAACGTCCCATTCACGCTCAACGGAACGACAATCTCCGAATGCTCCAGTTACGTCTATCTAGGTCGTGAAATCAACATGATGAACGACCTAGCCCCAGAGTTGAGCAGGAGGAAACCAGCGGTTTGGGGAACTTTAAGAGCATCGAAGATATAGTGAAGAGGACAAGGAACATCCGACTCCGTGCCCACCTTTTCGACTCGACAGTTACCCCTGCCCTAACGTATGCAACAGAAACCTGGTCGCTACGTGAACAGGATAAAAGTTCACTTGGCGTTATCGAACGCGCAGTTGAAAGGTCGATACTAGGTGTATCCCGTATCTCGCAAATGTAATAAAGGATCCGAAGTTCCAACCTACGTCAACGATCGAAAATCGGAGACGCCGTTCTACACGCCAGGACATCAAAAATATGGTGAGCCGGACACGTGATGCGCTTCAACGACAACCGATGGACGAGAGCCTTTACCCTGGATTCCTCGGGACGTCAAGCGCTCTGAATGAAGACCACTGACCCGTTGGTCCGATTTCTTCGCCAAAGCGATAAAAAAAGGATATGATGCTCAGCGAATCCTAGAACGAGGGAAGCACACTGGGCTACCCTTGTGCACGATAGGAAAAAATGGAAAGTTGCTGGTACCCGCTCGACTCACTCGACGATCAACGGGATGACAGGTGATACAGGTGATGTTAAAATTCTTCAAATTTGATCTATTGACTGGTCAATAATGTGGAGTGCTGTGCAAAAACGTTCGCGTCAATTGAGATTCAAACCTAGATCCCACTCTTTCGTATGCTAACCGATGGACCACCGACGCTCGTTTTGCACAGCAGTCTTTCTACGCTACAACGCGTTGTCTGTCAACAGCCAACCCCCTACGGTCTGGCGTGGCCGTCACTATCGACATTCAATCCGCTTATGCTGACAGATATCGGTTATCAATAATAATCCAGAGATCATTTTTATTTGACTGCACTTGCGGTGCTATGATGTTTCAATATACCAGATAATGTACAGTGTTGTGCAAAAACGTTCGCGCCAGCAGGGATTCGAACCTAGATCTCACTCTCTGTGGGGTCGAGCGTCGGTGGTGCAACGGTTAGCATGCGCTCCCGGAAAGAGTGAGACCTGGGTTCGGATCCCGGCTGACGCTAACGTTTTGCACAGCACTCTACATTAGTGGGTATATTAAAACATCACAACACCGCAAGAGGCGGTCAAATAAAATTGATTTTCTACTGCTCAGTTATTGAAAAATCGAAAAGTAGCTTAATTGACGAGAGAAGTTTGAATGAAAGACAGTCTCCTATTTATGCTTTCTCAGCATAATGATGGGGCTATTTTGAAAATAAAACATCATTCAAATTTCTTTGATTCAAATTATCGGACAGTTATAGCAACTTTATGAAACACTGACAACTGCGCTTATCCTAAGGGGTCGAAACAGGGCACGGATAACTAAATGCGATAACGAATAGGAGCTTAGGATCTCTTTGGGCACAAGTCGTGATAACAAATTGCGAAAGGAATGGAAATTATTGTTCAAATACGAATTATGACTAGGACACATTCAGCGCAGATGGAGTTTTGTCACAATTCGCAGTGAAATCATACTCTCACGATCTTATCCACGTTACTCTACGGATGGAATTAGGACCAGATATTTTTGCATTTTAACAAATTCACTACCAGAGACCTTAATGGGAAAAAACGCGGTTTCCCTTGATTGGCCTAAATTCTTGCTCTCAGACCATGCCTTTTTCTGGTCTGAAATTCCTTTTTGTTATCGAAGAAAAAGTTTGTAGCAAGCAGCAAGCGATGATCTCAAAAACCGTATTCGACGCAACCCTATAGATAACTTAGAACTAAATGGTTACTGATTAAGCGCACATGAAAACCGTTCCCAAGATCAAATTCGAACGAAGGAGCACGAAGCGGTCGTACCGTCGAAAATTTATTAAATGGGTGCAGCTGATGTTTGGCTTCATTCTAATTATATTATGTGGTTAAAAATCTCTTCAGTAAAGGTGACTGACAACGGAGGAGTCTCTCAAGAAACACAGACGAGGGAATGCCAAAAAAGAATAGACTTTGAGGGAAAAAGATTCACGCTCATCTGTTAGGCATCATTTAACATGAAAACTAAATTGAAATAATAAACTGAAAAATTAAATTAAAATGCAAAAAAAGATAAAGAAATAAAAAAATAAAAAAACTAAATCAAATTAACATACTAGTTGACATCTTCTACCACTAAAACAACCGTAAGCTGAGCGATCACCAAATGTCTCAACTATAAGGCTGCTCAGACACTGACAAAAGAGTGACCGTAAAGACGACGTACCTGAGTAGGGTGTGTCTATTTTAGTTCTTGCGTAGTGGCCAGTGACACGCGCATGTGGGGGCAAATGATTCAGATTACGCCGCACTATGAGGCGTCATGTTGAACTGGCCATCAGGGTGTGGTAAGACCCAGTGGCAGTACCGATGTGTGCAGTTGCTGGTTAACGCAGGAAATCAATAGTCTTGGAGCAGGTGCTATCGATATGATGGGTACTAAAATAGCAGGGCTGCAGGTATGACGTCTATAGGTCTCATTTTGTTTCTAATGATTCGTTCTATCATAAGGAGCTAGAGGTTTACACAGTACTAATTCAGTAGTGTGATTCAAAAGTGTCATTCCAAATTGGCCAAGCCTTCACACTACATCCAAAGCTGATGTGTTGAGATGTCTTTGAAATAATATTACGCGACCTGTTGTTTATTATGTATAAAGTTTACATAGATTTTGGAACCCTTCAAAGAGGCAGCTCTTTACACATAAGCTTCAAAGGTTGCAATGCAAACTCTTCATAACTGGCTTTTCCTCAATTGCCATAGGCTAAAACTTCAATAAAAATTGCGATGTAGTTGTACAATATCTACCAAGAAAACTATTAGCGAACGGGCTCAGCCTTTATCAATGTATGACCGCATAAAATCACTGCATTATCACTGTTCACAGACAATCAACCTTACATATACCTATCCTGTTTGCAAGCATAAAAAACGTTCTTAAAATACCTAAGAGATTTGAGCGGTGAGCAAAAACCCGGCCTTAGGTGGCAATCGAATCCGCGTTTCATCCATACCTAGGATGCGTGCTCTACCACTACACCACCGATGCGCATTTGCACCACCACTCATTCTTCAGCACCTCTATCTTAGCCATTAGGCACCTACCTTCAACAGGTTTGGTCAGGTATGCGATTTCGCTTTACACACCCGTTGAACTGAGAGCCGTTGTAATAATTAATACTCGAAACATCTCATATTTTCGAGAGAATTGAGTGGTGAGCAAAAACATATATACAAGACATCATTACACTGCGAAAAATGCAATTGAAGTACTAGAAATTTCGAGTATTAGTTATTACAATGGCTGCCAGCTCAACTGGGTCTACAAAGCGAAACTGCATATTCGACCAAACCTGTTAAAAGGTTGGTGGTAGACAGCTAACATAGAGATGTTGAAGAATGATGGTCGTGCAACGTGCCTCGGTGGTGCAGTGGTAGAGCATGCGTCCCCGGTATGGATCAAGCGCGGATTCGATTCCAACGTGAGGCCAAGTTTTTGCTCACCACTCAAATCTCTTGAGTATGTACGAAACACCATAACACTGCGAAATATGCAGTTAAAATACTTCATTCGTTCTAAGATCTCACACAGGAAGGGCTATTGAAATCCACATACAGTTTACACCCTTTCCTACTATAAATATTCACGTTTATGCGTATCATAAACAGCTTGCAGTAAGTATAAATACTTCTTACGTTTACTTCATACATGAATAACTGAAGCCGTTTCAACAAAAAGATTTCTTGCATTAGCTATTTCGTGTTGGTTTGCGTGAAATTCGAGTCGCCGTATTCAATGAATGGGCAAGCTATAAAAGGGCAGAGTCTCTATAATTTCAACCAATATCAGTGCAAACGAAAACCACCAGAATTTAAGACATGCGTTTTCCAGAGACTTGATGCGTTCTTTAGTATGAGAAATAAAAGCACTGCTTATTCAACGTATCATTTCTTTGCGCACAAGTTTAGATTGATAGCTCACTTGACGTTAAGCTGAACACTCTTGAGCACGTTACGAATCGTGCCGATATTTCGCCTATCACGCGACACGTTCGGCGACAGGTGGGTGCGCTCCGATTACAAAGTGGTAGCTTTCTAATAAAGTTTGAAGTTCTAACGCCACTGAAGAACGTTTAGTCGTCAGTAAATAGTCAAATATGATAGCATAAACCTTGAAAAAGCTGTGGAAAGTAGAAACAACGTGAATCCTCTCTCCAAAACATCACATTTTCATCAGTGAAAAGGCCTGAAATCCATCAAATTGTTGAAGGCGCTTTATTTCTGTTTATTCTACTGGTACGCACTGAAAAATTTCGCAGTGCCGAGTGCGCGAAACCCAATATTACTTGGACTGTTACAATGCATTGAGAAGTTCGTCTCAAAAACCACATATCGTACTGTAATTTCTGAAATTTGATCTATCAAATCGTTAATGAAATTCTGATTAAACTACTTTGACCAATGAAGAATGCTTGTATGAAAAACAAAATGTTATTTTTTTTTGTTTCAGCATAATGAAGGAGCCATTTCAAAAATAAAATACGCTATTCAAATCCTTCCGATTTATGCTATCGAAAAGCCACATAATCTTCAAAACAACCAAAAAATACGTTTTTGTTGAGGGGACGAATCAGTACACGAATAACGGAAAAGCATATCTAACTCCGTATATGTAGAATTTTTCAAATAACTGCTTAGCTGTGAGGTGCTAAAATGCTTTGATGCCTATGGGAAGACTCAGTTGTTTATACCACACTATGTAACTTTTGTATCATTTCTCACTTATGTTCTCTCAATCGCTGAGAGTCCTCATTGGAGTTCTGTTCGGTTTGATAGACTTCCGTTCAATCGAAACATCAATTTATTACTTTGCTGTCATAATAGGAAAACATATGATAATTTCATACCATGGTTTATCCGATTGTCCGCCTGACTCAGGTCAGATCTTAGAGTTTTTTCTTCTCTGTGCAGTGTATTTGAGAACAGAGTCGAAAGTATACTGTACCTAGTAATTGGCATTTTTTTCGCTGTTTCAGTCCCTGTCACAGTCTATATTTCCATGACTGGCATTGTGATTACCACATATAATTTTTTTTGCGTTGTATTAGATATCGTAGGTGGTCTAGTTTTTCATCTACCTTACTCTCAGTTTTATCTCGTCACCTGTATCACTTGTATCACTTGCCGTCCTGTTGATAGCTGAGTGATTTAGGCAAACACACTGTAACCTTCTGCTTTTACCACGTATCCAATGGTCTCCCTCGTTCCGAGAAATTGTTGAGCATCCACCTTCCCTCTATGTTTATTAGGAGGAAATCGACCCCAAATCCGACAGTTCTTTCGTGATGCGCTTAACACTCCACGAAATCCAGTCGGTCGATTTTGGTTAAAAAAAGCTCTACTTGCCCTGCTCACCCTATATTGATTTACTTGCTTTGTACAACGTTATCCTTAACCTTTGATCCGTGGCATAGCTCACATCTTCGCCATGAACACAATTTTTTGTTATTTTTGCTAGGTGACATTCTTTTCGGAAGTGTTTGTCGAAATCTCTCAATGGCCGTTCCACCTGACTATATTTGATGTAATAAGAACGATGTCAACAGCGACAGCAAAAGTGCCTTGATTGTCGGCCTTCGGTTTGTATTCTGACGTTGTTCCGTGCTAATGTTCACTCAGCATTTGAAAATTGATAATTCTGGCAAAATAGCAATGCAACGTCGAACTTCTCTTCTCAAGAGGACACTAAAATCGTTGTAAATGGTGATATTTCTTTTAAAAAGATTGCCATATAGCTCACGAAAAGTTGGTCTTGGTGGTTTCTTATTGATTTATGACTTTGCATTATGACAGATAACGAAAGAAGAGTCGAGCCAGTGCGACCAATGAGAACATGTGAGAGCTCTTCATGTGTTACGGTTCTGATGAGGTCTGAAATTGGGTGTTGTTCGACTCATCACCGTCGAAATAGTTATCGGATTTTGCATGAACGAAGTGATGGATTCATAGTTCGACCTCTTTTTCTTTCATATGTCGGCAATGTGCAAGTATCAAAAAATCTGCTAATGGGCTTGCATAATATCCTTCATAGTCTTTCTAAAAACTGTAATCATTCCGTCAGTGGGTGGTAGTGCGTCATCTTGACATTGAAATTGAGGGAGATTCGAAAAGCTCTGCAATACTTTCCCCATCTTATGCAACTTCGACCATAACTGTTGCTTTTTTTCCTTGAGAACTGCTTTATTGCTTCTTGCTTCGTTTTACAAGTTTGGACATAATTCAATGGTTGCTCACGGCTCGTGCGACCCTCACGTCCACGTATTAGCTAAAGCGTTTGCAGAGTTAAATGTCTCACAATGACTTTATCACTCTCGGCCTTTTAACAGCTAACGTGAGAATGATGGATAACCCGATCGTATTCTTCGTCGATGTTACTAATATCGGTATCATCCCAAGAGTCTACTAATGATCTGAAAATCGCTGTACAAATCTAACGCTATTTTTCCTTTCCAAAAGAAGTGGAACGTTGCGCGAAGGAAGCGATGGCTCAATCCCATATAGAATATACTAACAAAGCAACGCCGATTAAGTGGAACCCTCAATCCATTTTACAAGCTTGCCCGCACTTGTTCATCCCACCGCCGCCGTATCGAGGACTCTTTCGCAGTCTGGAGAATGAGGCCCATTTTACCTCCTGCGCTTAACTTTCCTTACCCAACGTACAGCTCGTCGAGCATTGAACGTGAGATTGGGTATTTGCGGTCACCTTACCAGTCTCTCTCGTAGAGACAAGCAGCTTATTTATAGAAAACGACTCCCAACAGCCTCGCAGTTGCCAGCTGCTTGATTACAAATTAACGATTTTGAACGCAGTTGGTGGCTGTAAGCAAGAGACCAAATGAGTTTGGAGAAATCTCAAAAAACCGACACTTTTTTGACATTATTATTAGCAACATAAATGCTGAAAGACACCTTCCCATTAGTTTTTTCTAACTTTCGATTTTTGCAAAAACTGACGTTCTAGATCTACACTCGTTGATGATGGGATGTCCACTAGAGTTGTTTATTAGCTAATCGCATTCGTGTGAGTAAAAATGCTATCCATTCTTCTTGTCCAACGCCACAACTGCTCACCAAGCTCTCAATGCTTTTGGACAAAACCGACTCCTAACAGCCTCGTACTTGCCAGCTGCTTAATTACAAATTATTGGCGAATTTGACTCACACAAATGAAGATCTGTCAAAAGAGCAATACAGAAACAGAGAATTTACTTTCCTCCTAGTGGACATGTGAGCAATTTTAGTTTGCAAAAAATCAAAGAGATGCAAAATGTGAGCTTTCGTTGTAAGCACTGGAGCTTATGTGTGAAGCACATTGTTCTGTGTAGGAAGCTGAAAATTTTACGTAAACATGTGTACATAATAAGCTTTAAATCGCGAAGTGAATGGTTTCAAGTACAATTTCCGAAATATCAGTTATGGCACTAATGTAGAGGCTCAATAGCTGATTCATCAAAGCACGTTGTACCATCATACTTAACTTTGGTCCTATATTCTAAAAAACCACCAAAGAAAATGATGCCCATAGATGTCACACCAGCCAACCACGCCTCGTCAATAATTTTCTCTCAACTACCTAAGAGAATTGAATTATGCCAAAAATACGACCTCGGGCGGGAGTCGAATCCGCGTTTCATCTATACTGAGAACGCGTGCTACCGCTACACCACCAGTGTAGATCCACAGCTCCACTCCTCATTATCTCTATGACTCTCAGCCACCAACCTTTAACAGAAACGCGAGTTCAGCTCCCGTCTGAGGTCGTATTTTTGCACACCACTCAATTCTTTAAAGCACACATGAAACATCGTAACAGTGCGAAAAAGGCAGCAAAACATTGGAAATCTCATTCAATTTCCTCTTGTAAGCTTCAGTTGCGTGCATCCACGACTGCCAGTGGGTCCTGGCACGATTGCGTTGATGAACATGAGAGGTCACCGCGCGGCGTCATCTAAATCATTGCTCCCTACGGGCACTGTTCGTTGATCACCAGACACACCAAAATCGACACGCCCTGCTCAGGTATGTCATTTTTGAGGCATTTTTTCGAGCGTGATTGTCAGTCTTTGAGAGCCGTGTGGTTAAGACATTTGGTGATTGCTCAGTTAACATATCGTTGTCTTGATATGCTAATTATCACAACGAATGAATTGAATCTTTTATCGGTACTTATACGTTGAATGGTCAATTTTTGAGTGCGATTTTATTCATTGTACAAAACTTTTTACAGCAGTTTTAACAATCACTAGAAGACGTAAACCTCTGACTACAACTCTGCGCTTGTGGTTTTTCAAAACAACCTTTTATTACACTGTAGCTTCCAGAATAAGACTTCGTTTCACAGTCAGTCACTTTTGTCTTCATTTTCATTCAAGCGTGTAAATCGCTGGAAGCCCGTAAAGCGTATCAGCTTGCAGAGGATTTTTCATG